ATAGCAATCCAAAACAGCCCAGTGGCACCTTTAAGGCCAAGATTTATTCAGGTACAAGCTCTCCCTCCTCTATGAGGGCAGATCTGCGTCTGTGTCCCCCATAGCTAGCAATTCAAAAGAGTCCAGTGGAGCCTGAGCGGTGGGTGTTGCCTACTGACACACTTCCGGTGATGTCAGGGGGTGTGGCATATGCAAATAAGTTATGCTAATGAGCTCCTGCACCTCTTTTTCTACGAAATGACCCCTGAATAAACCTTTGATGGTCTTGAAGGTGCCGCTGGACTCTTGTTCTACTAATGTGTTTTAATTTTAATGGTGTTCTATACCATCTAGCCAGAATTTTAAAAGAGACTGAGTTCATAGCACAGGTGGGGCCCAGGCTCCCAGAACACAGCACATTCCCACATTCCACAAAGCTCTTAAAAAAAAAAAAAAAAAAAGTGGGGGGGGGGGGGGGAATGTAAAATTTCGGGAAATTTTGAAGCTCGGAAAAAACCTGGGTTTTTTCGTGGGGAAACGGAAATTTTCGGAAAAATTGAAAAAAATGCCACATTAGCACTTCTTTTGTCTTTTCCAGATTGAAAGTCATTCTGTTACTTTAGGAACATAAAATATGACTATAGACATTTTTACTTGGCATGAAATGATCACAACTTGCATATTAAAAATAGAGCGTATCCAAACAATTATTACAAACAGAATACCCACCCACATGCAAAAACAAAACTGAAACCTTTTTCTTTTCTTGTGACAACAGCACCTCCTAAAGGAAGACATGCATCTTGTTCTTGCATTGGAGAGTTCAGTTTGTAACCTAGGGCTTGCTTGTCCTCAGTGCACAGAAATTAGATCAATCTGATACCGTACATATTTTTTAGAAATGAACTGGAAAATATTTGAACACCTTGTCTTAAAACATTTTATTCCTCATGTTAAAATAAAATGTTCCATAATCAATTTATTTTATTTTTTCAATTTTTTGGAAAAAAAAACAAAAAAGGCTTCAGGGAAAAAACGGAAAAGAAATGTTTTTTTCCCAGGCCTTCACATCTCTAGTCCCAGGTGTGTGAAGCAGGTGCCGTGGGTCAAGAGGGAACCTCCAGCCACTCTCTCCAGACTCAAAGCAGCTCTGGGGAGCTACAATTGAGCGGAGTTCTGCGCGGCCTTGCGATGTTTCAGGGTGGCGCCTGACATGGCGCATGTCGCTACAACCAAGGACCGTTCCGCCCTGTGCCACAATTTGAGCTGCGCTTTCTTGATCTTAGATGTGGCAGTGTGCATGCTGCACACCCCCTGCACAGATTCACTAGCTTTCAGGATACCAGCAAGTCAGACGAGCACAAACGAACATCCCAGTTTCTACTGAAAACACAGGGGCGGATTAACCATTAAGTATACAGCGGGAGCGGCCCTCTTTGCTCACAGAATCACAGCGTTGAAGGAAGCCATACAGGCCATCGAGTCTATTCTATCCAGTAAAGGATCCTTCTCCCAAGGAGTTCCGAACAACACACAGGCTGCGGGGTCAGACGGCGTGCTGGGAGCGGTTTAAATTGCTCCAGCACCGATGCAGGTTTTTTTAACCTGGAGAATCGCGATCACCAATGTTCCCTCTAAACTGTGGAGTCTTGTGAGCAAAAATTCTACTTTGTGAGCGACTGGCATTAAAGTTGTGAGCGAGCGATTTGGCTCCTGCATAAATTAGTTTGCTCTGGAGCCATCCTTCCTGAGCGAAGACAAAAATGTGTGAGCTGGAGGCTAAAAACTGTGAGCTAGCTAGCATTACCTCAGCTTAGAGGGCACACTGGCGATCATACTCATCTCCTTGCTCCGGATCGCTGTGCAACCACATCGCTCCCCGCCATCCACAGGCGGGAGCATGCGTCGGTGTTGTTTTTCTCTCTCAGTTTGGGCATGCGCACAGGCAGCCATCTGTAGAACTAAAATTTTTGCACGTGCGCAGAACAGCAACCTGACTGCTGTAACACTTCCTTTTAAATTTTAAAGAAACACTTCCCTTTAAACGTTTACCCCAAAAATGGCCTCCATGAGATTCTGAACTCATCTAAACGCTAAAACTAGGCACTGTTTAAAAAATGTTTTTAATAACATGGTGGCGGAGCTCCGCCTATGCGCACACCGCCAATGCTCGGGAAAAAATGGCGGGTGAAAAGCGGAAGCCTCGGGCAGCTTTCGAGTGGGTAGGGGGTTTAAACCGGAAGTGGCTCGACACCGCAGGAGCGATCACACGGGGGGGGGGGGAATGCGGCTGGAACCGGAGAATCAGGAAAACACCACTTGGGGACCTGGTATCAAAATACTCCGGGTTAAAGCAGTCTTGAGCCGGAAAGCGACGGCTGGGGACAGGAGAGCAGATGTTGACTGTGTGATCGCGCAGATAAAATCCGTTTCTGAGACGGCAGAAAGCGAACTAAACGGCCTGTCCGACCGCACCCACAGAGTGTCGTCCCCCCCCCCAATTTTTCCGCACAGCAACTCAGTTAGGCTGAGGGAGGATGTCTGGCCCCAAGAGAGACAGATGGCTCAGTGGGGATCTGCCCCAGGTCCTCCTCCCAGGCCGATACTCTAACTGCTATGCCACACTCACTCCACACACCGCTGCGTACAAGGAAAACACAGTTAATTGAGGGTGAATCTGACTATCCTGAAGCTTTTTTTTTTAGGGCTTTTTTCACAATTAGAGCTCAAACGGTTATACTTTCTGCAACTAAGAGTGAACAAAAAGGCTTCACCGGCTGGAACGGTCACGGAATTTTAAACCATCCCTCTTCTGCTTTCTCTGCAACGCACATCCCGCTCCACAGAGCATGGTATCGGCATAATTTCTGAATGCTCTGCGAGTCACATCGCATGACAGAAGGAAGTGAGGCGGTGCCCGTCTTACCTTCATCCAATGAGGTAGGAATGGGATAAACATGGTGGGTGGCTTTCGACTTGTCATCTGTGACTGTGCCCTGGAGGGAGGGGAAAGCAAAACAGACGCCGGAGTCAGGAATACAGAGTGGAACCCATTTCACTTCAGCAGACATATTTATTTATTTTATCTATTATTGCATTTCTATCCCGCCCTCCCCGCTAATGGGCTCAGGGCAGCTCACAAACAGGGCAACGTGTGCCAGTATAAAACATTAAAAACAGATAAAACAGACTATTTAACAGAGATAAAGTGCTCAGTGATCGCATCAAGATGGTGACCTATAGATGTTATCCAAAAGCCCGCTTCAGCAGTACCAACCCATCACAATACTGTGGCAAGATCTTTATAATGGGCCATCATTACCCGCTATTGCCACGAGATAGTTGGTGGTGGTGGCGGCTCCTAATTGAAGGCCTGGCGGAAGAGCTCCGTCTTGCAGGCCCTGTGGAACTGTGGGAGGTCCCGCAGGGCCCTGATCTCCTCCGGGAGCTTGTTCCACCAGGTAGGAGCCGCCACTGAGAAGGCCTTGGCCCTGGTTGCCACAACCCTGGCCTCCTTAGAGCCTGGGATCACTGATCGATGTTGGGCCCCGGACCGTAGTGCTCTCTGGGGTATGTCATATCACTAATTAGTCCACTAACATATCACTATCCCATCCCAGATCTAAACCTGAGATACAACCCAAGCTGGGTAGCACTGAGCAAGGCACCGGGCTGGTCATTACAGAACCATTTTGCTGTGGGGAACTCTGCTGTCTACGGAATGGAGCCCCCCGCCCCCCCCCCATTCACACAACCAGTTGATTATTATTATTTATTATTTGTATTTATAGCCTGCCCATCCCATAACGGGGCTCAGGGCAGGTAACAGCATAAAACCAGTACAATGAATACAATTAAAATTAAACAAGTTAGAAATTAAAACAATAATAAATATTAAAACGCACATCACACTTCTGACACTGGCCACTCTGAGATGGTGGGTCAGAGTTACAGAAACAACCAGGGAAACGTATTAATTCATACATAAGAATCTCAATATTATAAACAGATCACAATACATTAAGAGAATCACAGTACATCAATATATTAACGAAGCTTCCGGCTTGAGTCTTCGTTTCGCTCCTAGACTTCCTCAGAAGTAAATTCTCTTATGACTTCCTCAGAAGTAAATTCTCTTATGACTTCCTCAGAAGTAAATTCTCTTATTCAACATTTTGCATTTAGTGAGTGCCGTCACTTTTATTTTCCAATATTTTTTTTCTCTCTGCTTATCAAAGCTTATGTTCCAAATAGGAAATAACAACCTTCATACCAGGCTCCAGTCCAGTCTGCTGCACGCTATGAAATGCTAGAATGCCTTGTAATAGGTGGCATTTTATGAATTTATGAATTAAGCCCTTTAAAAATTAATACACTTTGTATAAGATGTCAATATCGTATCGATTGCATTATATACAAAACGTTTCCCTGGTTGTTTCTAGAACTCTGATCTTGTATCAACTAGGTGGTCTCTCATAGACCACTCTGATATGGTGTCAAGAGGAGCTGCAGCAGCCACTCTGCCTCCTGGCCAAGAGCTTTCCCACCAGCCCTCTTGGGGAGAGAGACAGAGAGGCGTGCCGGTGAGGACAATGAACGGAAGGCAACAGCAGTGGCCACTGGCTGCTTGCGCAGGCGGGACAACCGAGGAAAAGCGGCCGAAGCACTTGACCTGCGGCACACAGCAAGTCTGAGAGAGCCTCTGGCTCTCGAAAGTTTCCTGTCACTTCAGTCCACCCCCTTCCAACACGACTTTGTTTGTTTTTCAGAATCCCTAAGGCCCCCCTACTCCACCAGAAAGGCCAGCCTTTGGTTGTCTGTGCCACACCACACCCACAAGAGGACGCCTTCTGCCTTTTACCTGGTGTCGTTTGACAATGTCCTTTAGTTTATTTGCCAGCTTCAGCTCAATATCTGGAACGAGGTAGATGACTGGTCTGCTCAGACAGTTATTCTGGAAGGGGAAAATCAGAAAGAAGCACACTGAATCTACGAGCCTGGAGACCGCTCCATGGACCAATTCCGGCATCCCTTCATTTGCAACCTTGCTCGGAGCAATGAGAGACGGTTCCGCTAACAGGACTCCCAGCTATCAGCGTCTCAAACTGAAAGCCTGGCGGACATGGAAATACTTAGCTAGGCAGAGCTATGCCTTTTGCCTTCTCATTTATTACTGGAAATGTTCACTGAAACCCTATTTTATAAACTAAAACAAGCGCTTGAGTCAGGGGTGTCAAACTCATTTGTTATGAGGGACGGATCTGACATAAATGAGACCTTGTTGGGCCAGGCCATGTGTGTGTCATAAAATGTAATGCGGAGATATAAACTTTATAAAGGACACAAACACAAAGGGGTAGGGGTTTTTTTACTTAAAATAAAAACATGCTTAAAACATTAGCTCTGTAAGCTGCAAACCGACTTTTGGTTTATTGACATTCACCACAGAAATTTCATGCTCAGAGTTCTGAGTCTAGGACCCAGGGGAAAACGTGAAATGGCTGAGCGATTGAGAGTCTGGCGAAGCAAGCTAGGATGCAGCAGCAGCAGAACTGGAAGCAGGAGATGGCCAGTTCCACTGCAGGCCAGATGGAAGCCCTCTGGGGGCCTCATCCGGCCCCGGGTCGCATGTTTGACACCCCTGGCTTAAATGTTCCAGTCATGAAGACTTAACTACAAACCTTTTATTCCTACATGTCTTTCCTTCTGTTTCCAACAGGTTCCTCTGATTCTCCTCTTCTTTAATGAGATAACTAGGCAGGTTACAAATACACCTGCAATTCTATGAATGTTCTCAGAAACAAGCCTTAACAAACAGAAAGCCATTTCGAAGGTATACAGATTGGCGTTTGTGGAATACTTGCCTGCACTAACGTTTTTTCAATGTTCATAAACATTTCTACATTTCGATCCATGCGGGAAGGATTTTGCAAGTCAAACCGCCGCCTGCAAAGGAACGAAAAAAACACACAGTGCTTGGAACAGCAGACAATTTACAACACTAGATACTGATAAGTCCTGTAGACAAGCGACATAATGTGTATGCCAATACCCCACTGGAGAGCTCAATATGAGCGTGTAACTCTGTGTCTCATTAGGCTACTAATCCTATTGTAGCTGCGTAAGACCCTTTTTATCCAAACAAACTCTCTTATTGACTGTAAAGGTTATTTTCAGCTTTGTTTCTCCCTACCTTTTCGATGGCAAAAAGATACACGGGCAAAGGCAGCAATGTTGCAGTAGTTTGCAGCGTTCTCTCTCCCTCCCTCAAGCACTTCGTAGATTCACTATTTCTTGTATGTATCTACAGCATGTGTACGATCCTAAGTTACAGATTATGCATTTTATGCTATTAAAAGCAGTAAACTAAGGTTTGAGTTTGACCAGAACCCATCACTGAATATATTTCAATTTTCTCCAAGCTTTCATTTTTTTCTGAAAGAATGTTTTCTGTTTGGCTTCAGAATTTCTGGAAATGGTACATCTCTAGATAAAACCATGACAGGAGGTCATCCAAGGATCTGGAGTAGATGTGGGAATAACAACTAGAAGAAGAGATTGGGTTTATACCCCGCCCTTTACTACCCGAAGGAGTCTCAGAGTGGCTTACAAACTCCTTTCCCTTCCCCTCCCCACAACAGACGCCCTGGGAGGTCGGTGGGGCTGAGAGAGCTCTGACAGAAACTGCTCTTTTTCAAGGACAGCTCTTATCAGAACTATGGTTTGCCCAAGGTCATTCAGCAGGTGCAAGTGAAGGAGTGGGAAATCAAACCTGGTTCTCCCGGATTAGAGCCCACGCTCCTAACAACTACACCAAACTACTACTACTTTTCATGGCAAGGGCAAGAGGTGCTGCAGGACTCTTGCTCTTTTCTTTGGTGTAGTAGTTAAGTGCGCGGACTCTAATCTGGGAGAACCGGGTCTGATTCCCCACTCCTCCACTTGCACCTGGCTGGAGGACCTTGGGCAAGCCGTCGTTCTGATAAGAGCTGTCCTTGAAAAAGAGCAGTTTCTGTCAGAGCTCTCTCAGCCCCACCTACCTCACAGGGTGTCTGTTGTGGGGAGGGGAAGGGAAAAGAGTTTGTGAGCCGCTCTGAGACTCCTTTGGGTAGTGAAGGGTGGGGTATAAACCCAATCTCTTCTTCTTCGTCTGCTATAGACAGATGACCACAGCTGCCCATCTTGGTCTACTCACTTTGGGATTCTGGTGAGGCCATGGAATTATTTACAGCCTACTTTTCTCCCACAATGGGGACTCGAAGTGGCTCACGCTGCTCTTCTCTCCTCCCCTGTGTCCTCACAACAACTCTGTGAGGCAGGTTAGGCTGAGAGTGTGTGACTGGCTCAAGGCCACCCAGCCAGCTTCCACAGCACAACTGGGGATTTGAATGGGGGCCTCCCAGGTCTTTATGGGTTGGATGAGGACCAAGAGAGACCCAGGCTCTGCAGCACGGGGCCATTATTAGATCCATTTCTACTCCCCTACCCAGCTGGGGCTGGTGTGGCAGAGTGGTTAAGGGAACCAGGTTCAAATCCCTCACTCAAGAATGGAAGTCTGCCAAGGGACCGGAGGCCTGTGGCAGCCTTGTAGCTCAAGCTACCTTCACAAGGCGGTTGTTATTGTCAGGGTTGAGTGGAGGAGGGGGAACTACACGAAAAGTCACTATCAGTCCCCCATTGGAGAGAAGTGTGGAATGTAAAGAGGGAAAAAAAACTAGCGGATAAAGATGCCATGGGTACGCCAGCTGACCCTCTTCCTGAACCAGCCTTGGCTGGCGATACTACGATCCCCATCCACACATGACATTGCTTTAAGACACATCACATGGCTCTGCCTATGAAGACGGTTAAGAAACCATATTTGGTCCAAAATATTCTACTGGTGTTAAAATAACTTTAGTGGCAGCCAACCAATTTGTTTGCAGGAACAATTCAAAGGACCCATTTCTACCTTTAAAGTTATAAAGTAATGGAAATCGAGGTTGCCGGTGTACGATCCGCTCCCAAATGAACCCCCCGGGACTGTTGAGATCTGCGTGCCCCCGCTTTCGGGAGTGGGGCCCCGGAGGCTCCCAGAGACACTGCAGTCTGCTGTGGCCCTCGGTTGCTGTAACTCCCGCATGGCTCTTTTGGACTTTCCCAAGCCTTTGGTGATGTCGACATGTGAGCTATGCTGCTATTGCTTTCTAACAGTCGTTACTGCTGTTCTCAACCCTTGACCATTTTACTGTCGGAGGGCATTGTCTGGGGATTTTAGTGGCATTACTGATGAATACAAGACTCCTTAAGAACCAGAGGCTGGTGTTTGTACACCGCCTCTCCGCAGAAACCTCAGGGTAGGCACTGAGATTTGGAGGCCCAGGGGAGAAAAATGGAAAAATTCAGAACACACGATTAGTAACTGCAGCTTCAAAGTTTCTGAAACTTTTACATCCCTTAAGTAGCTGTGTAATGATTTCATGTTTAACTGTGTGTGTGTCTTTAAAAGTTTGGTTGCATGACTATGATAGTCTAGAGTGGTTGAAACAGGCAAGTGGTGTGATTGGTGAGTGACAGAGAGGGGGAGGGGTTTTGGAAGTGATGCTGTGTGGAGGATTGTATGTCTATCAGGAGGGACAGAGATTTGACAGTTGATGAAGACAGTTGAAGTTCAGTTAAGCAGTTTTGTTTGGGAGTCTGAGAGAGAGACAGTATGGTGTGTGATACAAGAGTTAAGTTTGTGTATGAAGAAAAGTTGAAAGTATAAGGAAACAAGAAAGTAAAGTTAAAGAGAGAAATAAAAGTCTGAGTGACAGACTGTAGAGAACTTACATGACCTTGAGCTAAAGATACAAAGTTACATGCCCAGATCCCTGACAGTGGGAGAGAAAAGTGTGAGAAAAACCAGTTGGAATTGTTCAGTATTTACCTATTCATAGATACAGAGTACTAACCTGTTATTTACAAATTATTTCAATAAATCTAATTTTATTCAAGTCTGCCAGCTCTGAAAGAAATAAAGTCTCAGAAAACACATAGACCCTCATGAAAGCCTAAAACTTTCGACCTACCTACCCAGAAATAGAGAAATCATAAAGGTTTGGAAATCCTTTTAAAATTTCCTGGTGGCAGCTGGATATATACAGTAAAATAAAAAATAAAGAACACCTTTAAAGTAAAACGAGACCTCCCCAGTTAAGGGGTTGTCACAAGCTGGGGTATGAATATTTTAACCTCTGAAGCCGTGAAAGTTTTGCCCTCTTGAAGGTATACCTTCTTGCAGCCGCTGCAACAGAAGGGGCTTTTGCCCATGAGGAAAAGAAAGAAGCAGCCGGCTCCAAGATCACAGCCACAGAAACTACCAAGAAGGGCCTGCTGATCTGGGCGGCTGAGGAAGAGCAAACCACGATTCATTTGAGACAGTTTGAGACGGTAGCTCAGTTCAAGTCCAGGAACACCTTGGAGACCCAGAAGATTTCCCAGGGCTTGAGAGTCCAAACTCCCTGCATCAGAGATCTGGCAACAAAGCGCTGACTCTCAACCCCCCCCCCTCGCCACCCCAAAAAAATCTTATTGTTCTCGAAGGTGCTACTGGACTCAGATGTAGTTATTAAAATATTATTAAATCTAGTGATTAAGATGTGGAATTCACTACCAGAGGTTGTAGTGACGGCCACAGTTTTAAAAAGGGTTTTGATAGATATATGGAGAATAGTCTATCGGTGGATACTAGCCGTGGTGGTGACTGGGCCAGGAGGCAGCATCAGGGGAAGGCCTTGGCCTCTCTGCCCTGTTGTTGGCCCTCCAGAGGAACTGGTTGGCCCCTGTGTGAGACAGGATGCTGGACTAGATGGACCCTCCCTGGTCTGACCCAGCAGGGCTCTTCTGAGGTTCTTCTCAGGGGAAGGCCTCAGCCTCTCTGCCCTGTTGCTGGCCCTCCAGAGGAACTGGTTGGCCCCTGTGTGAGACAGGATGCTGGACTAGATGGACCCTCCCTGGTCTGACCCAGCAGGGCTCTTCTGAGGTTCTTCTCAGGGGAAGGCCTCAGCCTCTCTGCCCTGTTGCTGGCCCTCCAGAGGAACTGGTTGGCCCCTGTGTGAGACAGGATGCTGGACTAGATGGACCCTCCCTGGTCTGACCCAGCAGGGCTCTTCTGAGGTTCTTCTCAGGGGAAGGCCTCAGCCTCTCTGCCCTGTTGCTGGCCCTCCAGAGGAACTGGTTGGCCCCTGTGTGAGACAGGATGCTGGACTAGATGGACACCCACTGGTCTGATCCAGCAGGTTTCCTGTTATGTTCTTATCACAGCAGAAGGCCTGAGCTTCTATGCTCTCTTGGTGGCCCTCCAGAGGAACTGGCTGGCCCCTGTGTGAGACGGGAGGCTGGACTAGGTGGACCCCCCCTGGTCTGATCCAGCAGGGCTCTTCTTAGGTTCTTATCAGGGGAAGGCCTCGGCCTCCATGCCGTTGTTGGCCCTCCAGAGGAACCGGATGGCCACAGTGTGAGACAGGATGCTGGCCTAGATGGACCCCCACTGGTCTGATCCAGCAGGGCTCTTCTGAGGTTCTTATCAGGGGAAGGCCTCGGCCTCCATGCCCTGTTGTTGGCCCTCCAGGCTGGCCACTGTGTGAGATGGGATGCTGGACTAGATGGACCCTCCCTGGTCTCATCCAGCAGGGCCCTTCTGAGGTTCTTATCAGGGGAAGGCCCTCTCTGCCCTGTTCTTGGCCCTCCAGAGGAACTGGTTGGCCACTGTGTGAGACAGGATGCTGGACTAGATGGACACCCACTGGTCTGATCCAGCAGGTTTCCTGTTATGTTCTTATCACAGCAGAAGGCCTGAGCTTCTATGCCCTCTTGGTGGCCCTCCACAGGAACTGGTTGGCCACTATGTGAGACAGGAGGCCGGGCTAGATGGACAACTGCCCTGATTCAGCAAGGCTCTTATTATTCATATAAAACATTTTATACCCTTCCACACCAGAAGTGAAGGCAAATCAAGAAAATCACAACACAACAATATCATACCATAGACTAACATGGGCCCCACACAGAAGTACAACCCCTGTTCAAGTCACACAAAAACCTTTTGAACACGAGGAGGGAAAGGTAAAGAAGGCTCACCATCCTTGCTCGTTTTTATACTTATAAGCAGCACCAAGAATGTGACACAGTGTTCCGCCAGCTTTGAAATCCATGAAGCACTTTGCCTAGAAGAGAAAGAAGACCCAGCGTGACACCCAGGCCCTCCAATCGGAAGCACGCATGGAAGAACAGCCACGCCTAAAGCTGCCTGTCGCCCAAGCAACGACTCCAGCTTGAAAAGCTATTCTTCTCCCACTCCGCAAAAGTACGTTCACTGCATTTATACCCCCTTCCCCCCCCCAATGAACACCCAAAGCAGTTTACACCATTTCCCTCTCTTCCATTTTATCCTTGCCAGTGGCATGTGAGCGCCAGGGCCGAGGTCACCCACAAGCTTCAGCGGCAAAGGGGGTGGGGGTTCTAACCCGGGTGGCCCCAGAGCCTTGCATGACACTATAACCACTCCCCCACACTGCCTACCCAAGGGCAAGAAAATGCTAGTCGCCTTTGAGCCTTACCCTTGGGGACTCAAAATTTGAGGACACAACCTGGCTTGCATTCCTCACCGTGAAGACAAGAATCAAAACCAACGTCCTTGGAATTAACATGAATCCTTCTCATGAAGTTATTTGGGAATTTACAACACTGCGAGGCTGCGGAGAACACTCTGGACGGAAACGGCTCTTTTTCAAGGACAGCTCTTATCAGAACTATGGTTTGCCCAAGGTCATCCAGTGGGAAATCAAACCCGGTTCTCCCAGATTAGAGTCCGCGCACTTAACCACGACACCAAACAGAAAGAAGAGACACCAGACAAGCGGGGCATAACGGAGACAGGGATCGCCATGGCTCAGTAGTAGAGCACCTGCCTGGCATGCGGAAAGCCCCAGGTCCCACCCCTGGCAGCATCGCCAGTTAAAAGGATCAGACGATAGGTGACGATGCAAAAGACCTCCATCGGAGACCCCAGAGAGCCAGTGACAGTCTCAGACTGAGCTGTACTGAAGGTGGCTGAGGCAGCTGAGCTTCCTATCAAATGTGCTGCAATTCCTCCTCAGGACTGCGAGGTTCCTCCTTTAGGAAATCAGAACCACTTTTCGTGGCCTTCAGTCCAACTGTGAAAGACCAAGTGTCTCCAAAGCATCACTTTGGAGATTAAGGAACGTGTTCCTCCTGCATACGTTTCTGAGGGCCTGGAGGAAATGACTGCATCTACCTCGTTTCTCTCCCAAATTTCCAATTGTTTGGAAGCTTTCATGTCTCATGAAAGGCCTTCCTCCGCAGGATTCTATTAAAACACCCAGATGTAGAATGATCTAAGATGACTTCAGATTACTCTTGTGTTGGCTGACTGGAAAACCATGGCCAGAGAGGCACTGAAGAGTTTCAATGACGTACTGGCTTGCCTTGTCATTGGACAGAGGCTGTTTTAAGGACCTTGGACAGAAGCTGATGTGCAATTTTTAACTTCAGGAGGCAGGCAAATTCCTTGCAAGACAGACTTCAGTTTAGCTCTCTGTATACATTCCAGAATACTAAGCAAGGTCGCTTCCTTAAAGGCTGAGTCTTCAATCTTAGGCACGCTGGCTGTTTGGAAGCAAGTCCCATTTAAGAAATGCAAAACTGTGGTTTAAGCATTTCACAAGAGCCTGCTGTGTGTGTGTGGGGGGGGGGGTCCTATAACTGTGGGGCTGCTACTGAATTGGCCCTCTCTCCTGTACCCACCAACTGAGCTCCTTTGATTGATGGGACAGTCCTGAGAGGGCTTCTCCCTGTGATCTTAATTCCCAGTCAGGAACTTACAGAAGAAGACAGTCCTTCAGATATTCCGGTCCCAACTCATGTAGGCCTTTGAACATCAAAACCAACTCCTTGAATGGTGCTCGGGCGTGGATCAGTAGCCAGTGTAACTCTTCTAATATCAAGGTCACATACTCCCAGGCCCGTAACCAGAAACTTTGGGGTGATGGGGCAAAGGCAGTGGGGCAGGGGAACTTAATTAAAGTCTGCCTGCCTGATCCGCCTGCTCCTCGCCCGCCCACTCGGCTTGCTTGCTCACTGCCATGGCTGGTGCTTGGCTTGGGAGAAGGAGAGCTGGTTGGAATGCACTCTCTGCCACAGAACGGAGAGTACACCGACTGCCTCTCCTTCTCCTGTAGTGAAGGTCTCAGGCAAAGAAAGTCTGGCTTTCCAGGGTCTTGGCCATTGCAGGGATCGAGTGTGGCCAGGGCAGGGGTGTGAGTGGTGGGGCGTGACTAAATACTGGAGGGGTGTAGCCCCGAAATACCCCACCATAGCTACAGGCCCGCATACTCCTGATAGCTGGCCCCGACCAGCAGTCTAGTCACAGCATTCTGCACTAGCTCTTCAAGGGTCGCCCCAAGTAGAGTGCGTTGCAACAGTCCAGTCTACATGCAAGTTAGTTGACTGATTTTAATATTAAAATATTAAAATTCTAGCACATCTCATCGCCCCTACACTCTTCAAGGGTCGCCCCAAGTAGAGTGCGTTGCAACAGTCCAGTCTACATGCACGTTAGTTGACTGATTTTAATATTAAAATATTAAAATTCTAGCACATCTCATCGCCCCTACACTCTTCAAGGGTCGCCCCAAGTAGAGTGCGTTGCAACAGTCCAGTCTACATGCACGTTAGTTGACTGATTTTAATATTAAAATATTAAAATTCTAGCACATCTCATCGCCCCTACACTCTTCAAGGGTCGCCCCAAGTAGAGTGCGTTGCAACAGTCCAGTCTACATGCACGTTAGTTGACTGATTTTAATATTAAAATATTAAAATTCTAGCACATCTCATCGCCCCTACACTCTTCAAGGGTCGCCCCAAGTAGAGTGCGTTGCAACAGTCCAGTCTACATGCACGTTAGTTGACTGATTTTAATATTAAAATATTAAAATTCTAGCACATCTCATCGCCCCTACACTCTTCAAGGGTCGCCCCAAGTAGAGTGCGTTGCAACAGTCCAGTCTACATGCACGTTAGTTGACTGATTTTAATATTAAAATATTAAAATTCTAGCACATCTCATCGCCCCTACACTCTTCAAGGGTCGCCCCAAGTAGAGTGCGTTGCAACAGTCCAGTCTACATGCACGTTAGTTGACTGATTTTAATATTAAAATATTAAAATTCTAGCACATCTCATCGCCCCTACACTCTTCAAGGGTCGCCCCAAGTAGAGTGCGTTGCAACAGTCCAGTCTACATGCACGTTAGTTGACTGATTTTGAAATTGCAAGTAGATAAATAGGGACCACTTCGGTGGGAAGGGAACAGCGTTCCGTGCACGGCCTTGGTGTTTAGTCATGCCAGTCACATGGCCACGGAAACGTCTTCGGACAGCGCTGGCTCTTCAGCTTTGAAACGGAGATGAGCACCACAACCCTAGAGTCGGATTCGACTGGCTTTCGAGCAAGGGAACCTTTACCTTTTACTAGTGCTGATCAGAACACACGGTACCCTTCCATCCCAGCCGACAAATGTTCTGGAGAACTTGAAAGCGCGCTTGTTCATTTGCAACCTTTGGGGTTGGTTCGTCCAAAGCCTGCCTCCGACTCAACAGAAAGACAGCACCCGGAGAACCTAACCGGTTTTTTTGGGGGGACACCTTCTCCCAGCCTCCTAACTCTTAAAATCTTCAAATGAAGCCCTGCTCCAAGAAGCATCTTCCTAATCTGTCCTGCAGCATTCACGGATTCCTGCTCCACAAGGATTTCTGTCTAGACCACTGGTTCCCAAAGTGGGCAATGCCACCCCATGAGGGGTGCTGGAACAATCCAAGGGGGCGGTAGGAGCCTTGGGTCCAATTGGGGGGGCGTTGAATAAAAATAAGGGGGTGGTGACGGAAGCATAAAGAAAGAAGAGTCCAGAACCTATCTAAAGCAGTCTTTTCCTGCCTTCTCCTGGTTTTCACTAGGATCAGGAAGGGAGGGGGAGGGGGAGAAGGGTCCCCAAAGCCAAGCACAGCCATGCATTTGCAAACTGCAAATGCATGTGCACCCTTGTAAGACTGGTGTTGCTGCTGGGCTATTGTGTGGTGGCTGCTGCTGGCCTCTGGCTTCAGGCAAACAACATCATTCTTTACTATGTGCAAATTTGTCACTGCATCCTTTTGTCCACTTCTTGAAGGTAGATTTCCAGGGGGGCGCGGAGTAATTTTTTTTCCCGAAAAGGGGGCGGTAGGCCAAATAAGTTTAGGAACCTCTGGTCTAGACTGACAGCCAAATACTTCCAGGTGGGCCTCTGAACACGCCCGAAAGAGCAGGCATGCCTTTATTTTTTGGTACTGGCAGATTTAAAGCACAGCTGTCCACCCTGACAGGAGCAGTTCTTCCGGAAACAGCTGCCGCACCCTCTTGTTCAGACAGAGCGTGCTGCAGATGCATCAGCCGGAAAATCACCCCGAGAGTGCGTCCAATACTCACAGGGAACTTTGTGAAGGCAGGATTGGCAACATGTTTCCCAAAGGCATCTTCCTGGAACTGCAGCAGCTGCACCACGAGCCCGGCCAGCGTTTTATTGGTAGGAGCATCTGCTTGAACATACTGGAAAGCAAACAAAGCCATCCCCCCGATCAATCACACTCATCTGGCAAGACATCAAGCGACTTCAGCCCTCCCGAGCAAGGCTCATCCTGCCCGCGGCTTTTTAATTCTCACTCCCATAGTTGACAATGGCAACCAGTAACCAGATACCCAAGCAGCAGCTCTGCTGTCCCTGGTCTTGAATTAACCAAGTTCACGAAAAGCCAGCCGGGTCCAATGTTCCCTCTAAGCTGTGGAGTCTTGTGAGCAAAAATTCTGCTTTGTGAGCTACTGGCATTAAAGTTGTGGGTGAGCGATTTGGCTACGGCATCAATTAGTTTGCTCTGGAGCCATCCTTCCTGAGCTAAGACAACAAATGTGTGAGCTGGAGGTTAAGGAACTGTGAGTGGGCTCACACCAACTCAGCTTAGAGGGGACACTGGCTGGGTCTGCTGATTCGTCATTCTCTCATGCCCGGCACATGAGGCACTGTTGCCAATGGCAGCGTTACGTCCGTGCTCCATAGAAAACAAAACATAGGCTTTTGGAACCATTAAGTACTACAGGAACCCCATTTACATGAAATGAGATTATAAGCAGTAGCTCACAGCAAGCACAGCTGACAACCATTTGGGAGGACTGGGTCCGGACTTTTTCCTTCAGCACAAAAAAGGAAAATTCGACATTCACTGGAAATATCCCTGCTCTTGGAAAAGTTAGTTTTAAAAACGTATATCCTGCACTCCTCAGAATATCAACACTGAAACAAGGCCAGTATGGAAGTAGTTGGGTTCTCTAGGCACTGTGACCCCGTTTGAGGCTTAGTAGTAATTAGCCATGACTTCAAACTGGGTCTGCAAAAAAAAGGCAGCCTCATCAACTGCGATGGGCATGACATGACCAATGCTCCCTCTAAGCTGTGGAGTCCTGTGAGCAAAAATTCTACTTTGTGAGCTACTAGCATTAAGATTGTGAGCAAACGATTTGGTTACTGCACCAATTAGTTTGCTCTGGAGCCCTCCTTCCTGAGCTGAGACAAAAATGTGTGAGCCGGAGGCTAAAAAACTGTGAGCTAGCTCACACTAACCCATCTTAGAGGGAACACTGGATATGACCCCAATCATTAAAACTAGTCAGCAACCCGGCTGCCGCACTCTGCACTAACTGAAGATTCTGGAGATTTTTTTTAATATGTTACGGCAACCATACAGAGAAGGGAGAAGAGCACAGATAAATGGCAAGCTGGCATACCAAACAAGGCAGGCAAAAGGTGCTAGACACTGAGAGATAAAGGGCTTCTAGTGGCAGATTTAGGCCTAAGAGTGCTCATTTAGGGGGCATGTCACCCTGCCGGGAGCTCACTCCCCAGCCCCAACACCACCAACTTACAGCAGCTCAGTCTCATCTGGAACGAGTTTCAGCAAACCTTCCACTACGGCCTCTTTAAGGGACCGGGGAGGAAAGCGCCCGGACTGCATCCTTGACCAAGTTCACAAACAACGCAGGAAAAAAAATAACCAACAAACATCTTGAGAACTGGGTTTTTATGCGTACCACGCTGGACTCTGAACAGACACAATGAACTGTGTACTGCATTTCGCAATGATGCAACTGGACTCCCTTTTCTAAAACACAGCTGAAGGACAGTCTCTTCCCATATATGCC